GGGCCATACTGCCCATGCTACTGCCGAAGAAGCAGAAGAAGAGGTTTTTATCTTTTTTATTTACAGAGTATTCTCCAGTTAGTGTTTTTATATAACACGTCGCTACTTGATGTACTTCAGGCAATGCAGATGATCGATGTATATACAAAATTTGCTTATGAGCAAGCTGCAATACCTGTTATTGCAGGTAGAAAATCGAGGGTGGAGACGTTTGCCGGTGCTTCAACAACCTATACAATTGAAGCAATGATGGGAGACAGGAAGGCTTTACAGGCAGGCACAAGCCACAACCTTGGTCAGAACTTCTCCCGTGCATTTGGAACACAGGTAAATTTGAAATGTAACAATATGAATATGTTGATTATTGCCTTCACTCAAAGTATTTATGACACTTTGTAGTGAATTCTCATATGCTTTAAGTATCATTTCAGTTTCTATGTGGTATGAAATGTATCATGTTGCTGTTGAACACGCTTCAATATCAGCAGTCAAACATGGTTGGGTTGGCCAAGGGTTGTTGTCTCTTAACTGTTAGGATGAGTCAGTAGTCAACTTCTGGCATAGTTTTAAACGATTGAGCCAGGAGATCTAATATTCATTAAAGTCGATTTTTTTTTTTAAAAAAATAGAACAATCAGATTTCAGACAGTACGTATGTCCCTTGTCTTTTCCTTTCACTTATGATTTACATATTACAACTTCTCATTCCTCCAATTCATGGCTTGTCTCCTCCAAGATTACTGATATTTTCTGATCACAAATGATACAAATGTCAAAATTATCCCTGTCAAAAAATCATACAAGTGTCAAAATTACCAACTCTTATGCTCAAGTCTCCAGTTTGCACTTATAAGAATTAATGTCAACATGGCAATACTGATTGCTGCAAACTGAAGAGACAAGTAAACGATAAAAGTTGGAGATGTTTATTCGTCCAGTTCCTTATTGATGACTACCAAAACCCTGGCCAGCTCTTTTTCTCTTGGTGGCAGTCTGCAAGATTTGTGTTTTGGATTCCTTTGTGTGATTTCCTGTGATTCCTTTTCATAGTCCAATATGTATTTCCTCTGTGGCCAACCCATGACATGATTCTTACCATGCAACAACTCATGTATAGTATGCAAACGTTGTGAATTATTGAAATTTCTGTTTTGGTTCTATAATTATATTGCTTGAAGCTCTAGCACCCTCTTTGTTAACCAGTTTATTTTAGTATAACGGTTTTAATGTTTTAACAGTTCACAGATGAAAATGGGCAACGGCAACATGTCTGGCAGACATCATGGGCAATAAGCACTCGTTTTGTGGGAGGTATCATCATGACACATGGGGATGATGCTGGCTTACTGCTACCCCCAAGGCTGGCACCTGTGCAGGTTCCTAAAATCTCCTTTTAACTGGTTAATTTTTGTATCTAGCAAGCTTTGAGTACTTGTCTCAAGTTTCGTGACTTCTTAGTCTATTTGTTCAGTGATGGCATTAAAGGTTTTGATTGTGAATCACCATGCTCAAGTAGTATGACAGTAATAGGAAATTCTAGTAAATGGGTGGACAAAAATTGAGTTGGTCTGGTTTATTCTCTGCTTTGTGTTCTATTTTAGGTTTCTAGCTGCATTTCTTCTTTTATCTTGTGTACTATTGCATATAAAGGCATTCTGTAGATAGCAAGTTCGACTAGTGGGTCATGGTGATTGAATATTTTCTTGTTGAATGCTCCCAGGTCATTATTGTCCCAATATGGAAGAAGGACAATGAGAAGGCAGGAGTTCTGACTGCTTCATCCTCTGTGAAAGAATCTTTACAAGCTGCAGGGATAAAAGTGAAGATTGATGACTCTGATCAGAGAACACCTGGCTGGAAATTCAACTACTATGAAATGAAGGTATGTATTGACCTCTGTAGAAACTCAGAAGTTACAAGATAATAACCTGTAGTTCAGAGGAAATTTATTACCAAAATATAATTTGAGAAAACATGCATTTTAGTGTTTCATCAAGTAAATATTTAGGTGCGTTAGTCACCGACAGGTCTAAAATGTTTGTGAGGTTGTAGGCCTTAGTTTCTGATGCAATTTCTCTTCCTTGGATCAAGTTCTTTGTCTAGACAGTTTTCTTGGAATAAGATTATGTAATCTGTGCTGAAAGTTGGTGTACATGGTTTTAGGCTTTATCAGCCATCATCACTAGGGACAAGCATGAAGTTATTTGTTTGATAGTACTCTGTAATGCACCCTGCTCCTATGTAGGGAGTCCCTTTGAGGATTGAAATTGGCCCGCGAGATGTTTCAAGTGGAACCCTGGTCATTTCTAGAAGAGATGTTCCTGGAAAGCAAGGGAAAGTTTTTGGAATATCCATGGAGCCGTCCGCCCTGGTGGCTTACGTCAAAGACAAGTTGAATGAGGTTCAATCATCCCTTTTGGAAAGGGCAACAACTTTTCGTGATAGGTAAGTTCTAACTATTGTGTTATTTTGCTGTCAATACAATGAACTGCATTTTCTGCCGTACACTCTTTCCCCGTTCGTCTTTGATGATAACTTGTAGTGGACACATTTCATTCAGAATTTGTACCATTAGTTGGATAACCTTTTACAGGAAGGAAAATGTTTCCCTAGAAAATGTTTTGTAGGGTTGCTTGCTATTTTCTAGTGATTTCGAAGTAAGCAAAAAGATTTTCGCATTGTCATTTGCTCTAGACTTCAGTGTCTGCGTTTCATGCATCTCCCTTTGTTGGATATTGAGTTTCTTTCTGATTTTCTGTTGCACAATCATACTATTCCAGTAACATTATGGATGTGTCTTCATATGATGAGCTTAAGGACGCAATAGCTCAAGGAAAATGGGCAAGGGGGCCTTGGTCAGCTGGGTAAGCCTCGTCTTATACTTCCCTTTCTTGTTGTGTCTGGTCTCTAATTGCTTATATATTGTCGGTTATCTGGGACTCATGTGTTGATGCCATACTTAAAAACAGTGACGAGGAAGAATCAAAGGTGAAAGAAGAGACAGGTGCAACCATTAGATGTTTCCCATTTGAGCAGCCTGAGGGACCAAAGAAGTGCCTGATGACAGGCAATTCAGCAGATGAAGTTGCAATATTTGCCAAATCTTATTAGCAGCTTCTTGATTTCTTCTACTGTGCACGATGATGCTGAAGTGCATCCATAGAAATTTTGTTGTTGTTTATTGTCGGCGTTTTAGTTGGAGATCTAGTTACACTTATAGTGATAGTTTATAGTTTTCTTGTTATATTTAAGATCAGCAAGAACGCAGAAGTGAGAATGTCGCCTGAAGCTACGAGATCATGTATGTAAACTCATTATGCTACAAAAAAGCACACACCACATAAAGTTGTAACTGCCATCAAGCAGCAAAGTTATGTCTATTCATTTTTCCTTGGTGTTTAAGACCTTTTTTGTTTCTGGTGCAAACAGGATACTGAGTCAATTATAGACATCCTAAGTTCTTGTTAGGATTTTGATTCAGTTTATCTCTTTGTGTACTATTTCAATCAAATATGCACAAACGTTACCTTCTTGCAAAAAGTTGGAAGAGAAGTAAAATGAAAGAGCATTCACTAGATATGGTAAAATTTAACTTAATTTATCGGTCAGGGTTGTGGTGGAGTGGTAAGTACTCCTTCAATTTAAACCAAGAGGTTTCGGGTTTGAGTCTCCTTTGATATACACTTGCCTTTGTTATGGAGAGCGTTTAACCCCTCAATATGGACTTTCCGGCGCGTATTCAGATTTAGTCGGGTTTCAATATGGGTAATCAAATTAAAAAAAAATTAACTTAATTTTAGCGCCATTCTACTATAACTGTGTAGGTGGTAGGAGGAAACGACGTAGTACGCGTGGATGGTTTGAATCCTATTAGATCTCTGCATTTATCTTTCTATTAGAAGGATGACATATTAAAAATTGAAAGATATCGATGAATATCAGTCTCCTTGTATGGTTTTCTGGTTATTCGTTGAATTAGTACGTAGAAGGATGACATATTAAATACTAAAATGTGTATCACGAGCGTAAATGTTCTTAAACGGTTTTCTTGTTCAACTATTAGGTGGAAGGATGACGTATTAAAAATGAAACAGTGTATAAATGAATATTGGTGATCTTATAGCGTATTCTCATTGTCGTTACTTGTTAGGCTAGAACATAAAAGGATAACGTGTTAAAAATTGAAAGGTGTATCAATGAATATCAGTGTTCATTGGATCAGTACGTAAAAGGATGACGTATTAAAAAATAAAAAAAGCATATCAACAAATGGAAGTGTTCTTATGATTAATTGACATACAGTACGTAAAAGAATGACGTATTAAATGTCAAAAAAACATATAAACAAATAGAAGTGTTCTTATAATTGGCGTACTGTACGTAGAAAGATGACGTATTAAAAGTAGAAAAGTATATTAGTAAATAAGTTATGTTCGTTGTTTCTATCATGTTCTCTAACTAGTCGTACGCCTAGTCTTTTGTTGAGAATGTAGTGACAAATTCGGAATGGGGAATTTTTTATATATCTTGATTGATCATTCTACTCATCGATAATAAGAGATAAGTGTCGAATAAAATATAGAAAAGAGAAAAGTGCTTTAATTAATGATTAGGTACTTTGCACACCCAAAATTGACAACAAGAAATTGATTGGAAGGGATAGAAATAGAATGTCTATTGTTATTTACCTAATTGTCAAACCTAGTACTATACTTTAAATAGTTTGCCATAATTTGTGGTGTTCTTTTTATCTTATTTGAGATGATAAAGTTGAAAGCTCACCACATTTTTTCAAGTATATCTTGCTCTTGATTTATCTTTTTGATACACTAAATCCCACTAGATATTTTGGAGAATTTTACCATTTCGATTTTAAATAAAAACTTCATATCAAATAAATTATAATTAAAAAAATTAATTAAATAGATTGAACGACTTTGTAGGTAAAATATTCATAATCGAGTAACTTTATAAAATGAAGAAGTATTGGTTGAGTGACATTTTTGAGTTAAAGAGCGACCATCTAAGATATTATTTTCGCGTTCAAAGTATTACAAAGACAGTGTGACACGAAATAGACATTATTATCAAAAGTAAAAAGTCACATACCAAAGGAAAGTGAAATGATACAATCAACACCAAAGGCAATAAATTGAGACCATTTATAAACTAAACCCTAGCACTTGTCCTCAACAACATTTCCATTGTTGATAGTCTCCATGTATTTATCTTTCCTTGGCTTAAACCATGTAGCACAAATTATGTACAACACAAAGTTTATAACTCCCAATATAGCTAGAAGTCCATAAAAACAATCAAGCCTTCCATAATTTATGTTATCAGCAAGCCAATCATGACCCCCATTGCTTCCAGTAACCTTCTTGATAATAGAAACTAAAAAACTACTAACAAAGAAACCAAGAGCAAGTGTTGTTAAGAAAAGACCAGTGCTCATAGTTTTCATCCCTTTTGGTGATTGTGTTATGAAGAAATCGAGTTGCCCCGTGTATATGAATCCCTCCCCTGCTCCAACTAGAAAGAATTGAGGGATCAAGTAGAACACACTAATAGGTAATGTTGATAGGTTACGCCCCGTAGACTTTGCTACTGATAGCCTTTTCATCTCAACTAATGCAGCTATTCCCATTCCCATTGTAGATAACACAAGTCCTATAGCTATTTTTTGAAGGCTAGTAAAACCTGCATTTCCAAATACCAAAACAAGTATTAGTCCTTAATTAACTCGTACGTTGTGTTTGAATATGCGTGTATAGATATATACCTGGTTTTCCTTTCAATTTCTGCCATAGTGGCATGATGAATCTGTCATAAATAATCAAAGTGATTAAAATTGCAGAGACAAAAAAGACGGTAAGAGAGCCTGCTGGGATTTTGAATTTGCCAACGTTACGTTCCATAGTAGCAGCTTGTTCCACTGAAAATGTGATCATTTGTGCATAAGTTGTCCAGAAAAGTATAGTTGTAGCCCAAATTGGGATCAACCTAGCCATCATTTTAACTTCCTCTACGCGAGTAACCGTGCACAGCTTCCATGGATTTGGATTCAAATCGTGATCGTCAAAATCGCCTTGTGCTACAATAGCAGCCTTGTCCAAACACCGAAATTGATCCGTGTGTTGAATCCTTGATGAGCCCTCTGGATTCGTCTCGTATAACATACCAACATCATACGGAACATCCATCTTCCTTTTCCTTGTAGCAGCCAAAATCACTTGAAATATTTGAACTATAGGACTTCCTGAACTTCTCTTGTACCGATACCTTTTAGTACCGGAGAAGAAGATAATAATCGCAATCACCATAGATATACAACAAATACCATAAGCCCAGCTTCTTCCAACTTCATCCTGAACATAAACAAGCACAGTAACTGCTGCCAACGTTCCAATACTTATAAATATGAAGAACCTATTGAAAAAATACGCCATTTGTGATTTTTCCTTTTCGTCTTTCTCATCAAATTGATCTGTGCCAAATCCAGACACGCTAGATTTCAATCCACCAGTGCCTAATGCTATTAGATACAAAGCCAAGTACAGTATTCCCATCTGAAATCCATTTGCCGGTTCGCAGTACTTGTCATGAGGATGACAAGTAGGTGGCCTTAACTGTGGCAACCCTGTTGTCACAGTTAACATGCCAGTTCCCTGAATTCAAATTTGAAAAAAAAAAAAATTAACACAAAAAATAAAAGGTAGACGATTGATCAAATATTTGCTTAGAGTTAATTTTTTACCAGTGCTTGTATAAGAGCGAAGATCGCGATGGTTTTGTATCTTCCAAGGAATGAATCAGCTAGAAAACCTCCAAGTAATGAGAGGAGAAAAGCTGTGCCCATAAAATCTGTGACTATATTGGCTGATGCTGCACTTGGTAAATGCATTGTACCACCCAAGTAGGTAACAAGATTTACTGCTATTCCCATTGTTGAAAGCCTTTCATTTATTTCAATTCCTGTCAAATTCAGTTATTAACAATATGTTTTGATCATTGTTTCATAATGTATGGGGTATTGTATTGTACTGTAGATACAATGTTTGTATTATTTGTTGTTGTTTAGTGACATTTTAATTGTTTAGTTTGATATTATAATTTATAAATTTACTAAAATATCGGAGGTTTGACTAGATTTAAATAATTAAGGTAAAGAGTAAAATGGTATTTTAAAATGTTGTGTAAAGATATAATTAAAAAAAGAAATTAAGTAACAATGGGAACACACCAAATTAGTTGTTCCATAAAATAGGGGTTTCCATTGTTACGTAACAACGAAATTTAACAATACAGTAAAATACATTTTAAGTAACAATCAGAATAAACATTGTAGATATAGTAATATACAATACAATACAATGGATAACAATGATCCAAACATAGAGTAAGTATCTCGATTATGCATCGCGATTTGCAAATTAAACTAAATAAAAGTTCCCGTCCTCTTTTCTTGTTTAAGTTTGACTTTTCATTTTTCGGGTTCTAAAAAACACCAAGGAATTTGAAGGAAAAAAAAGCGTGTATCTCCCTGCTTAAGATGATATGTCAAGTAGAAAATGACATGACAAAAAGCTATTTCAAAAGGTGGTCCCACAAAATATTGATGTTTTAGAATTATACTCCTTTCGTCTCAAAATAAATGTCATTTTAACAAGAAGTAATAGTCATAAAGAAATTAGTGAATATAATGTGTAGTTTAAGAAATTATCCTTGTTCAATAAATGTTTCTTGAAAATTTTGAGTAGCTATTAGGCTGTAATTAAATAACCATGAGACACTTGTTAATTTTGAGTAGCTATTAGGCTGTAATTAAATAACCATGAGATTGAAAAATCTTAATACTATATTTGAGTATATAACATAATTTAAAACACATAAAATATTGGAATATGATAGTACTTTAATATATGATTGTATTCCCATTCCTAAGTGAAGGGAAAAGTTGATATACTGATTCTGGTGGAACTTCATCTCATGGCATTTGTATGAACGAACCAAGCTTGTTTTTCATCCTCCTCATGACTAACCTAATTTTTCATTTTATTTTTGTGCATGACGAATGTAACGGCGCAACTTCAGATTACTGAGGACACGTGGAGGTCGCGTACTTTTCTTATTAGTTTTTATGTTATACCTAGAATTGCTCCACTTGGGTCGAGGGGTCTTTCAGAAACATCTTCTCTACCTCCACGAGGTAGTGGTAAAGACTACATACACTCTACCCTCCTCAGACTTCACTTGGTACGTTTAAATTCAAAGAGTACAACTACTAGAGTTGAAAGTATGGAAGAAGGAATAATTAATACTAACCAAGAACAAGAGCAGCAGGCACCCAACCACCAGTTTTAGTTCTATCAGCAGGGAGACCCTTGTAGTTAACAGCATCTGCAACTGTCCAACTCATCTATAGTAAAGACCATATTGGAAACAAGTTATTTCGAGATTAGAAAGAGAAAAAAAAAAGAGGAATATTGAATCTACATTGACATAAAAGTAAATATTCTATTACCATTTCTTTTCCAAACACTACTGAAAAGTGAATAAGCCTTGGGAAAAATAATATTATGTTGTTATTGACACTTGGTTTTGCTTGTGAGTTGTATCCTTTATATAGGCACAAGATTTGTTATTACACTGTAAAGTGACCCCCCACTATACAAAAATTTTAAAAAGACAGAGTTTGGTGTTAGGATTAGGCCTATCCCATTTTAACATGGAAGGTTCTGGGATTTTGATTGATATAATTTAGTTTTCTGTTTCTCAAGGTTAATATTTTAAAGTTGATGTTGATTTGTACAAAGTGGGAAGATATTGGTGCCAAAGAGAATCTGGAACATGCAATACCCTCCTTTTTGGTGTATCCAGTTGAAGATATACATTGGTTTTGGATGTTGTGAGAGTGTCCCATGCCTCATTTTTGAATTTTTTTTATAAGTGCTTTTGTTACCCCACAACTTGAAGAAATAAAAAGCTAACACCTTTTGTTTTCCACCATTGTCTTTCTGTATGGACATAAACATATAGTACTTGACAAGAAGCTAATAATAATGATCACTATAGAAATTGAAATTATTCTCCATCAGGTATAGTGATAAAAGACCTTACATGGAATAAATAATGGATGTGTATTTGACCCATGTGCTAGAGTTAACCATTGCTTCAAAAGATTTTAAAGTCAATGTGCACCATCATCTTGTCTTGGAAGCAATTAGTGGTTTTGAAAAAGAAAACATTGAGATAATAATTCAGAAGTTTGTCTGTTCAAGTCAACAGCACATCCAAATTACTATTTGACAATATGATCTAGTTTAGTTGGGTACTGTTTTGGTTGATTTAATTATGATCTCTTTTGTTTAATACTTGGCATTTTTGGATTGGACACATAAGAACGTGCTTTGGTTGGGTAATCACAGGATATTGTTTTAGGCATTTTTAGGTGCTTGCTTCTGAGTTGTGTGTTTTATTTGCCTTTTAAGTTCAAGGACACATAAATGAAAATAATGATACATTATACTCGAACTCAAAGTCTGTTGCCAAAAGTAAAAAGTAGTCCATAGGAATAGTTCTTTTATTGGTAAATTCCAAAGGAATACTTATAGATAAAAGAATACAAAATTAAAATTCATATATAAGCTCCAAATGAACCTATTTACAACTAGAAACTGCAGGCTGTTAAAAAGTGTAAAATTAGCATTCTTCGATCTTCCATTTCTTCTCTCTTTTCTCTGATTTTCTACAGTTACTTCTAAATCTTCAAAAAGTTCAATACATTTTTGACAAAAAGTGAGAATCTTGTTAAAGGGCCGGATAATTATCAAGTAAAACCAAATGGAAAACAGGTAACTGGATAACCTCCATTGCACAGGTGCAAACCTCCAGAATTTATCCTGTTTCTGAAGGCTACCCTGCCAAATAGTAAGCTTTCTGTATGAGCTTGCAATTTGTACTCATTTGCATCATAAAAGGCGGTGGTACTGTCTGAGTTGAACACATCTTTATTTGTATCTTTCTCAAAATGCTTGATGTAACTCCTAAAGTCATCATGAGCCTGATTGCTTTCTGGTGAATTCTGACCAAAAGAGAACTGTGATTGTTGTCCTGGATCACTGCCTCTTTGCGAGACTTGATACAGTGTTAGTTCATTGTTGCAGCTGTTGGCGGTTAAACTTGAATCTTCATGAACGTGGCAGCCAGCTATTATCTGTTAGAAGAAAATCAACTTTATGTATGACTAAATTGTAATCAACCATCACAAACCTTTACAGTATTTTAAGATGTTATTTCCTATTGTGTGACTATGAGTCTATGACTAAGGGTATGAAATGGGACTTTAGATTTTCCGATTCAACACATAATTTGCTAGTCTAGAGCAGGGAATGCTAGAGTTTGCTGCCAGAAGAGGCTAGCTGTGTTCTATTCATTGTATATGAATCAACATTCATGCTTTACAGAGAAGGCTTATGGAGGTGGCATATCAGATCTCATATCAAATACATCACAAGCTCATCATATCTGCAACCTATGCAAGTTAAAAAAAAAAAATCACTGAAATGGAACAAAAAGGGATGACAGTTGCAAGGGAAGTTGTATCTCCATCTACACAAGGGGCAGGATATAATCTAGGGACGCTTATAAAACTGAATTTGCAAAGCAATAGTATGAGGGGTCAACAATAAATGTTCGAGATTTGGATTTATAAGGGGTCAACAAAATTCTTTTTATATAATCGAGAAATCCCCGAGAAATGACGCATAATTTGCAATTCGGTGGAACAATGATCCACCCCTTTACCCTTCTCCACATTTATACCAACTTTACTTACATGGGAGAGTTCGAACTCATGACCTAACCCATACGTCACACATCATACTCATACCTCTGGACCAGAGCCCATGAGGGGTTTATAAATTTTGAGAAGAAAAGTTTTGGATCTCCAAGATGAAGCAAAATAGGCATCAGTAAGTAATCTTCCCCTGGTACAAACAGTAGAGTACAATACTATCATGCCTTAAATGTCCTCCTATTTTTAGTCATAATAAAGAACTATTCTCTCATATAAATATTGCTCGTTAAAATTATATTCACCTGTCTTTCTATTTCATTACTATTCAACTTCAGGTTTGTTAACGTTAATTTGACTAGACACTTTAGGGCATTAAAAATGTCTCATTTCACTTTGTTTTAGCGCTACTTCATTTCGTATAATAATGACGCTTTCTCTTTAGTTGTGCCGCTGATCCCGTCAGAGCGAGATACCACATGTTATATACTAGCATCTCTTTTGGTTCTTAGGCTTAAATTAATAATAACTTGAGTTCTTATATGTCCTCAGCTTCTAACTATCAAGTTCCCTTGTAGAAGTAAGAAGGTGAAAGCGAAACAATCATGGTAGTGCTTTATCCTGCGCATTTTTACTGCCTGCCAGACATCCCTGTTTAGTGTCTCTTCTTCAAGAAATTCTTTGCTTCATCCAAATTCCAAAACAAAACTATATAATACTCCCTCTGTTCTCTTTTCAACCTTGTTGTCTACCAATCCAATCTATTGATCATGACTCAAGAATGCAAGGCATTTCTGCAGATTTGCAGGTACACTAAACAATACTCCCTCCCTAGAATTTTATATGGCACTATTTCCTTACTACTCTCCAAAAAGAATAAAACCTTTCTATATTTGGAAACTATATATCTAAAAACTTCCAATTTTACCCTTAATGATATTCCTATATAGCCACAGAAATATCATTGCATGTTTAAGACCATAAGTTCCAAAATATTTCCTTCCTAAATTTGGTGACCAATCAAACCACACCGCATCATCAATTCAAATGGAGGGAAGTATAGTAACGCAAAACACACTAACGTAAATGACGTCAACTCTAAATCCACCAGCTGCAGATAGAACCTTATAACCAGCAATGATGTCTTCCAATTGCAGTCTACACTACTTGGGTAATTATATAAGTTATTAAGATAACTTTAGCCGTCAAAAATGAACAGTAAATTACATATGTGCCGACTGTTGATACCCAGGGAACCTAGATTCTCACAGACGTCACCCTTTCAATGAATAAGTAAAACCAGTATTTCAGTTATTTAAAGATCAGATGATTTTGATGCTTTATAATAAAGTTAAACCTTTGTCAGATCAAGAGAGGAACCTGTTTGCAGTTGGAGTAACTTACCGGGAGAGACGTTGACATAGCACTTGGACTCCCTTGTAGGACAGGAACAGCTACACCAGTTGTAGTAGTAGCTACAACAGAGCTGTGAGATGGGTATTCTGGTGCTGAGAAGTCAGAGCTATCAAAAGTTGATATGGATACACACTCATCAAAGTATGTCAGTGCTTCTTCAGTAAGACGTTTTGTCATTTTTTTCCTCTCATTACTTCTCTGCAGTGAAAATATAAGGACAGAGAGTAAGCAAAGATAGTAAGAGGTCAAAAAATCAAGGTACAGAAGACTCATTCTAAATTGCTCAGATGTCTATGCCATGAGGTCAAGATGCTTTAAGTAATTGCTGAAATTGAATGACAGGAAAGATGAAAGAAAGTAACAAAAGGACATGAGCCAAGCAACTTAATCTCACTTTATCTAGTATGTGTAATACTTGCACCTTTTGGTGGATGCTATAACTGCTAATCTAATCTAATTTTGTACAACTGCATATCCATCTTAAATTCCACATTTCTACAACACCTCTTGTGGATAAATTGAACCTTCTGGCAAACATAACCCATACGGGTCTCACAAATTTAAAAAACTTGCGTTTCACTTTGTTATGTGATTTCTTGTTGCATAGCAGTCTTGTAGCACTACTCCATTTCAGCCAGGAGCCAGAAAAATGTAAGGATTGAACAAAATTTTTCTTGTAAGAAGTGGCCACTGTCTAGGGGTATGCAAGAAGAGAAGACGAAAGGGCCAGCAACTCCCTTAATCTCAAGGCAGAGGATGAAAACAAGAACTCTGATGCACCTATTTCTACATATGCTAAAGCGTACACACTGTCATTGCTATTAATAGTTCCGTTTGCTCTCAGAGCATCCAGGATGCCCTGGAAACTAAAGCTGCAGCTAAATAAACAAGTCTACCTACTTAATATGCTACATCAACAGGACATAGATATAGCTTAAATTTTGCACTTCTATTTCAGTTTTCTATGTAAGTTGGAGATAGAGAAGGAAAAGACTAAGAAAACCAACTTTTCTTCCTGCACGAGATCTCTGAGGAGGTGAGGGCTTTGGATCAGACAGTATCTCCTTGAGAATCCTGCTTATCTCCTGGCCTCGATGCTCTTCAACAGCAAGATCTGATCGAAGTTTTCGAGCCCTCTCTTCAGACTGCAAATTTTATGTAACAGAACTTCAGCAATGAATGACAAGGAGATGAAAAAGAAAAAATATGATTACAGTCACAACTTTGAGACACTCCACATGCAGAAGCCTAATATACAAGAGTACTCCCCATAACAGAACTCTAAAGAACCCCAAGAAAACAGTCCTTCTAAGGATTTACTCAAGTTTCTTAGCATTAGGAACTGCAAGATTATGATATTCTTCATTTGATTTTATTTTTG